CCCCAAAACCCCAAAACCCCAAAACCCCAAAACCCCTTAGCGTAAAATACAGATAGAATATATTTAAATAAACTATAACCATGCTAGGTAGCAAGAAACTTAGGAATTTTGATAAGAACGGTAAGCAGCCTCCTCTCTATCCTGTTATGATCAAGAATTTCCTATAGATAGCTTCAACCAGAGTTACAAGAACAGGATCTTTGAAACCAGACTCCCAACAGCAAAGGAGGGGGTGAACAAGCGGAGAATGTTTTCTAGAGAAAACTCAAGACAAAATGACTCTTTTGAGAAAATTGGTTTCAATCGACTAAGGCAAAACCAATTCAAAAGTCCCATGCTTAGGGTTAATAAGAAACTAGCTAATAACTTAATGATGAGAAATATGCGGAAGATCAATAAGAATCCTAGAGGTATCACAAGCATGAAGATCCACAAGGCAGCTAGGATCACTGTGCAGAAACAGGCGAATATTCTGGTAGATAATTCAGAAAGGAACATCAATGAATTCAAACGAGCTTTCTGTGATATCCACCTGATGGTAATATTCTACAAACTTTTCTGAAAGTGTTTTACTTTCTCACTCATTAATTATAGAGTGATCAGAATAGAGATATCATAAATGTAAATAATCTCAAGATTGATAAGAACGATTTGAAGAGTTACTTGGCTAAGAGGTACCCAAAATAGGGTAGCTGACTACATCTTCACTCAAGTAGCCTTCAACAGTAACTATATGAAATTCCCAGAATACTGTAACGAGATTTCGAAGCTCTCACAAATGTCCCAGAAAGGGAAGTTAAAACTTGCCTTTCATATTTTTGACAGAGACTCTGATGGCAAAATCACATGTGAAGATATTCTCAGCTTCATGGAAGACCTTAAAGAGTCAGATTGGTTGGTGCTCGAGGACTGCCACAAAATTGCTAAAATATTGAATGATAAACGAGAAGGCCTTTTTGAGAAATAAGCCAATATCAGTCCTTAAGAAGTTGAATGCTAATAATCTGCAACAGAATTTTGCAAATAGAAGAAAATCTAGGAAAAGCTCAGCGATTTATTCAGAAAATGAGCAGTCTGATAACTCCCATGATGAGTTTCCTTTGAAGAAAGTACAGACAAAGAGGATCAATCATGAGTATCAGAATTTAAAAATTGAGAATCAGAGAAAGACTGCTGTCTCTAACCCTTATATGATGGGTCAGGGTGCAAAGCAGTTTCTTAATCAGAGAACGATATCGTCAATGCAAAAGGTATGTTTTGGAACATTTTGATTCATTTATTGGATTGGATATATTATATTATCTAGAAAGCTAAGGCTCTAAGAATCAACGACCAAATCTCTGAATTTCCATACTCACCTGTAAGCATTGACTGAGACTCAATTTGCATTTATTTTAGGCACAAAAGACTGCTAAGCATAAATTGAAATCTAAAGCAAGCTCTTATTATCCTCAAAACTCTGGAAAATAACTCCAGCATGTTATCAGCTGTTGGTGCAGATGACGACAAGACACCCACTGGCCATAGGAGTGAGGTTCACCCCTCTGTAGGAAGTTTTAGATTAACATTTTAGCTGCAAAATTCCAATAATCGTAGAGGAATCACACCTAAACCACCCCAAAACAACAGGCTGGTGAATACGAAATTCCTGAGTTTTGTGTTTAATCTTCATGAATCCCAATACATTGAAGAAAAGGTAAATGGAAATTTGAAGTGAATTGATAACACTCTTCATGCAATTGAACTTTCATCCATCTGAAAATAAGAAGGAGGCTACCTCTTTAACTGTTAACCTCCGGGATTGATTCAAGAAGTACATCCACATGAAGTTTCCACTAGATTTCCTCAGCTTCGAGGACTTTTGATGCATCAAGTTTGAGAGAGTCTACCCTCATATTATTTATGATATCATATAAATTACTTAGGAGGAATAATAGAGTTGTCAAAATCAGGTATCATATTTTTATGTGACTCCTAGATCAATCTTCTAAAATTGACGAAAAGTACAAAAACATGGTCACAAAACAGATGTATAGCCAAGAGATCATGGACGATGTCAAGTTCATCAAGAGGAGGAAATATGATTACATTGAGATTCAAAAGCACATTAAAAATTTGAATCATGACATTGATGGACTAGTCAAGAAAATAGATATTTCTACATTCCTAAATGCTTGAGAGAACTCCAGAGGCTAACCTATCAGACTAGCAGAGAGGAGTATTTGACTTTAAGGTTTCAATATAGGATTTGCCAAAAGGGGTTTTGGGGTTTTGGGGTTTTGGGG